GGGGCTAACACTCAGACACGAGATGAGGGGCTTTAATATTTTTTAGAAAAGTACAAACTTGAAAAATACGCATTGAGGAAAATAAATCACAAAAATTCACAAAGCAATGTTACTCATTCCACTGCGGCGCGATGCTCACATGGCGGGCAGCTCTACGTAGTCGCGGTCGGACCAGGCGTCGTCGGGAGGCGGGGTGGCGGCGCCCGGCGGCAGCTGCTCCAGCAGGGGGCGGCCGTCGGCGCCCAGGCCCAGGTAGCTGAGCAGCAGCGCCGGGGGCGGCAGGCCGTGGGGCAGCGCGTTCTGGGGCACGGGCACGTCGTCCGTCTGCCACTGCCAGTGCGACAGCTTGCTCAGCTGGAAGCCCTGCGGGACACGGATGCCATCGGCTGAGTACTGGGATCCGTATCGTCGCAGGGCGGCCGCGACGGGCACGCGTTAGACTTTGCCTCACCTCCGGCAGGCAGTGGCGCTGCTGGCAGTAGTAGGCCCCGGACGAGTCGCTGTGGCACCAGGTGCCGTCCGGGAAGTACGCGTTCACGCCCATGTCGTTGAGGTCCAGGCGCGGCGTGTAGTACGACCCGGTGTCGCGGCGCCGGCAGAAGATGGCGCACGACATCCAGAGGCGGCCTGCGGGGCGCGAGAACAGTCAAGCTGGGCGAGATAAAGCGTGTGGCGGGGCGCGCCTGGCAGGCACGCAGCCCATCCGACGCTTGTCGCTTTCATTCACAGGGTTCGATTTAATTCTTTTTTAATGGAACAGTTAATGTTTTTGATATGACATGACATGAGATGACATGCCCCGGGTGACATACCCTGCTCGTGGGGGGCCTGCAGACCCGCGCCGCCGGGGTCGAGGTCCGGGAGCAGCTGGGCAAAGTGGCGGCACTGGGCGCTCGCGTACTCCACCACGGTGGGGCGCCTGGCCTTGGGGCACACCTGCCAGAGAGGAAGCGGAGATCGCGCTCACGCATTACGTAAACGCGATACGTTTCTTTCTGTCGCACTGCCGTGCATTGCGACGGGCCCGACAAAGACAGAAGAAACTCACTCTGTCGTCTTTGCACAGCACCACGTCCACGCTGGACCCCTCGCAGCCCTCGTCCGTGTTCACCGGCCGGGGGTTGGTGCACGACCGCCGACGCTTCTGGAAACCTGTAAAAAACAAATAAGAGTTGCTGACGAGACCTGCTACTTGGTCTTGGTATCTCTAGCTCTCGGACAGCAACGGGCGAGCGAGCGCCTCACCCCGGGCCTTGGCGATGCAGCCGGACTGGCAGGGCTCCGAGCGCCACGGGCTCCAGCCGCCCTTCACCACCTTGGTGGGCTTCTTGCGCTTCATGGGGACGCACTGGCCGCCCTGGCACCACTGCAACACGGACGCGCATTAAATACTTACATTGCATTTCTAACACAACGTTTCACGTTATAAAACCTTGAAAAGGGCCAGGCGCATTTGCTAGGGGTAAGTTCGCTCATCTCACCTTCCCCGCGCCGCAGCTCGTGCCCGTGAGCGCGGGGCCCGCGAAGTAGAACCCGGAGCGGTGCGGCGTGCGGCACTGGAGGTTGTCGCAGATATCCTGCGGGGACACGGCAAGGGGCAAAGGTTCAGTCTAACTGTCCGCAACTTGGGGGTATGGTATCGACCGAGCGTCAGGTTGAGGTGCACGCACCGCCAGCCTGGTGGGGTAGCGCAGCTCGGCGTCGTGGTCCCGGAGCAGCATCTCGCACTGCTTCTTGGCGCTCCACGCCTGGCCGGGCTCGTCCTTGAACATGCCCATGTGGTCCATGTTCTTGGGCGGCGCGCGCGGCCGGTCCATGAGGCACTCGGCGCTCGCCTGCTGCAGCACCTCCATGGAGCACGACGACCACACCGCCTCGCCCTGGGTGCCTCGCGAGGGGGACATGATGAAGCCATCCTTGGGGCAGCTGTTGCTGGTGCTGTCGTGGTGCATGCCCAGGCTGCAAGCGGAAAATACCGAAAGGCGCGTGCGCGTTCGCGTTCGGCAAAGGAGGCAATCACTTTGGCACCTTTTTGAGTAAGCGCGCACCAATCCAGGACGGGACTTACTTGTGGCCGATCTCATGCGCGAGGATGTACACGGAGGTGAAGCCAGCCGACGGGTACGGCTTGCCAAAAACGTTGACGGTGCCCAGCTCCGCGATGACGCACGCATATCGGTCCAGGCAGACGCCGCCCACCGTGGCCAGTCCTGTCGTCAGACCAGGGTTGTTTACGCTAATAAAAAATCGTTAGCGCGCTAAACGTTAACGCTAATGAGACGTGTTAGCGTTAGCGCGCTAACTCGAAAAAAATTCTAAATATTTAGCGCGCTAACGCTAACGCTAATGAAACTCAAGTTAGCGCCATTAACGCCGTTAACGCGTTAACTGACGCAAAACGAATCATCGCCGAAGTCCGTCTTTTCCTGACGAGGACGATGCAAAAACACGAAATTCAGCGAGGGGGAAAAGACTTGTGTCAATCCGGGGTAATCCGAGAGTAATCCGGAGGTAATCTGGTGATTATTTCGGTCGTAATCCAGGGTAATCCGGGGTTATCCGGCGGTTATCCGGCGGTATCAAGGGTTATCCGGGAGTATTCAAGGGGTAATCCGGGGGTAATCAAGAGTAATACCGGGTAATCCGTTGTACACGAGTCGTTCCCCCCTCGAAATTTAGAGCACTTTGAATCGTGTATTGCTGTCACTCTGGCGTTGTCTGGTCGAAAATGTAGTAATTTGACGTATCGCAGGTACCAGTGTTAACGCCGCTAGTTAACAGGCCGCATGGACGGCGCTAGTCGCTAACGCTAACACAACAAAAAAATTAGCGCGCTAACGATAACGCCAACAACAATGACGTTAGCGCCGCTAACGCGCTAATTAGCGTCAACAACCCTGCGTCAGACAAGCGAGTCATGAGTCATGTAGCGGTCGGGGAGCAGCTCTGTGGGCGAAAGGCTGGCAGAGCCGGGACTCACCCATCGTGACGCCGCTCTTGCGGCCATTCTCGTAGGCGAAGAAGTCCAGTCTGCGGGAAAGAAACCATTGAGTAAGTTTGAAAGAGAGAAACGGAGAGCTAGCGCGGCGCGGCGCGTCCCTTGTGCTGTACCCGGACACGTAGAGCCCCATGTCCCAGTGGTGCGGGTCCTCGTCACCCGGCGGGTTGTGCCGCTCGTTGTACTCGCAGAAGGAGTCCAGCAGCGGGCCGCGGTCCCCCTCGTGGTGCGGGAGGTCCTGCGGCTGCGACCGGAACAGCTCTAGCCGCACCAGGGCGATGTCCACGGCCCGGCCCAGGCTGGGGTGGTGGTACAGGGCCTGCACCTGCGGGGGACAAAACATGATTTAACGCCACACTCTTGTGATTTGAAGTCAAGAACGTCAAGGCGTAAGCACAAATGATGATCGAGTGTTTCGTCCTGCGAGGTCGGAGGCGCCTGGCAGGTAGGCAACCCACCGAGGGTCGGGGCACCTGTGCGGAGCCGGTGGCCTACCCCGCGTTCCGCAGGCGCTTCCTACTAAGCCCGAGAGTCCGGTCTGCTCACCCCGTTGAGGTAGGCCAGGATCATGTCACGCAGCTGCGCCTCGTCGTTCGACACGAAGGGAGCGAACAAGCGGTACGCCGCCTCGTCCAGGAAGAGTGCCGTCTCCAGCACCAGCCGGGCCTGCGCGCCGCCGCGCGCCTGCTGCTGCTGCGACGACGTAAAAAAATGCTTTGTAGGCGATGGCGTCCGAGCAGTCGGACGCTCCTGTGGCTGTACTTACATATCGATTCCTCGACGAGACAACAGCCTCCACATCCTGGTGGACGACTGCAAAAGAAAACGAGTTACACAATTACTTTTCGGTACCCCCGCCACCGAGGTTCAAGATCGCACCTGCCCGTCAGGCATTTTCATAATGACCTCGCTATGGATTGCTCTGTGACCCGCATCGTTTGACGCCCTCCGCCCCCCCCCCTCTCTTTTTTCCATCGCCCAATGAGTCATGCATCGTCTCATCAGCAGGTGGCAAAAAATAGGGGCGTTCCGCTGAAAATTATCGCAAAGTCGACGACCTCTGCTGAACTGTCCCCCCTTCCCCTCGCCGCGAGCGCCATTTCCCTTGAGGCTCATCGCTTGCCCAGGCCAACCTGAATCGCCATCGGTGAAAAGGTAGCGGTGCCGCTCTAGTGGCACCCTCTTGATGAGATGCGGCACCCGGCCAGCGTCTTCCACGAGCCCGTTGCTGTCGAGGTCCCCACCGAAGTGGTCGTGCAGGCGGTCGGGCAGAGGCCAGATCTCGAGGGACTCGTTGCCGCGCAGGATGAGGCCGTGCACGGTCCTGGGGTGGCACAGGCTGAGGGCGGCCACCATGTCCTGATCGTCCCGGTGCAGGAAGTGGCAGCGCGGGGCGTCCTGCAGCGCCCCGTCCTCCTCCGAGTCAAGGTCCCCGCCACGGCGGACCACTCTGAAGCTCGGGGCGATGAGGTGCCGGTTGCGGCGCAGCGTCAAGCCCACGGGGCTGTGCAGGGCAGGGAGCGTGTCGCGTCAGGTGGGGCGGCGGGAGAATTCAAATGATCTCCCGAGACCCGCCTTACCTGCCGAACGCGTGGAACTCGTAGGGGAAGGCCGCGCCCTCGGCCTCGACACCACCCTCTGCCTCCACGGCCTCCACGTCCTCCAGCTCGACGGGCGCGGGGTGCGCGGCGGGCAGCAGCACCACCTGGTAGTCCGGCAAGTCCTGGGCGAGGCTCTGGCCGAACAGGCGCACCAGCTCCTCGGGGGTCAGCAGCTCGTGAAGTCTCGGCTGAAAGCCGATGGCTTGCTTAGGGGCTTTCGAAGCGACAAAGTCGTGGTTGGTCTACTCGGCCAGAGTTTACCGTGAGCGCTCGCGTGAAGCTCCCGCCTAGCAGGAGAAGCAGGGCCAGGGCTTTGGCCAGGTAGCCGGGCGACATCCCGGACCCCGTCATGGTGTCGCGTCAGCGGCTCGTGGGCGAGTGGCACCTTCGGGAGGTAGGTGCAGTGGTGTCCCCCGACGGCAGGGCGTCGAGGCAGTCGAGGGCGTCCGCGAGCCCAGGGGCATCGACCTGCCGCCTCACTCCCTCCGCCGGGGGACCGTGGCCTGGCGGACAGAGAGGTGACGAGCCCGCGAACCGCGGCCTCACACGCCACTAATGCCTGAATCTTCAAAGGCAGGTGTTCTGGAACCAGCGGGGTGGGGCAAAGGGCGCGGGGGAGGGGGCCGTACTGGTATAGGTGCGACTCGATGCGGGGCCTAAGCCCAGGCGGGTACAACGAATCCTTTATTGCACCCCCGATGCGATAACTGCCGCTGAACGACTACGAGCCGTCCAACACGTCGACCACGGCTGCGCTATATCTGCATGCATTAAATAAACGGACTTCGACGGTTAGCGTTGTCGGTTGGGGGACTTCAGCTCTCTTTCTCTACCATTTTTTTCCTGTTCGTTTATTTTATCAAACTACTTTTATCAGTAAGTTTCGACAACGACACAGTAGGAAGTCGGTGACGTATCATTTACATAATATCGGCCACTGTCATGAACAAAAATAGTAATAAAAGAAAGGCGACGTACCGTACACGCCTCCATTCTCTCTTCGCCCTATTTTAAGGAGATGAGATACCGATAACTGTAAGGGTTACGAGACCCCTCGGTTTCGGAAAAGTAGGCCAAATCCTCTAAGGGCGGATTGTCATCAACCGCCTTCTGCCTCCATGGACCATATTGAACGATGGACACGCCCTCCCTTACAGCCACCTAATCGGGGATACCCCGCCACAGGGCACGAGAAACGCGGGGTACCAGCGGCGCTGCAATGGCTGAACAGTGGGCGGCGTTACAGCCAGCTTGGGTCCTGGCCGTTCGGCGTCGCTATTTTTACAAACGACTGAGGTATTTTCGTACCCCCGCTCCGCTCCACCCCGCTCCCCAGCGCCCCGCCCCGGCGCAGGTTCGCGCTTAGCAGAGCGGCAGTGGAGTGTTGTCCGACATGGACGCCGCCGTCGCCGCCGACGGGACGTGAACGCCGCATTTTTCCGTTCCGGCCCGCTCCGCGCCGTGGACATCAAGAATTCTTTATTCGCCACCGAAACCCGGGTGGCTGATAACGGCTGAAGCAGTGACCTACTCCGGATATCGGCGACGAGGCCCCGCCGGGTCCCCTCGCCGCCGCGTGTGTGCAGCTAGCCGCGCGGCCGGCAGGGGGCTCCCCGTCACCCCTGGCCGCCGAGACAGACGTGAGTACCCGGGGCCGTCAGCCGCAGCCGTCACCTCGGCGGGCTGGGGTGGGCACGCCCAGGCCGCCTGCAGGCGAGCGCCGTCTGTGCCATTACGATTCACGACCGGCGGCCAGCACAACAACACTGTCTGCCAGCCCCGCGGCCCGCGGCCCGCCCCGCGCCCGCCAGCACCCCCTGACCCGCGTACGGCGGCGCGGCGGGGCGGGCCGCGGAGGAGACGGGTGCGCCGTACCGATAAGCGGGGAAAGAGAGGAACAAAACAAAACAAGATGCGTGGAAACATGCTTAAGCGTGCCGCGCGGGCGGGGAGAGGGCGGGGAAAAGGGAAAACAATAAAAAGAAAAAGACGTCGTGATGGTCTTGTCGGGTTGAGGAACTCGGCACGATCCACTTCCGGTATTTCCGCACTGACCAACATTCGGCTCGATCCGAGTCACGCCATTCGTTGGCTGATCTCCCGGGGCGATGCATCCCGCCGACTGGGGGGCGGACCGTCCGCGGCAGGATCGGGGGCGGGAGCCGGCGGCCCGGGTCGCTGTCATGGGGGCCGGCGTCGTTGGGGGCGGCGCTGGGGGCGGCGCGGGGGCCGCCGCGTCCAGAGGACTGCGCAAGGAGGCCGGCATCGTCGTTAACCTGTCCTCGGGGAATATCCGCGCATGGTAAGTACGGCTCCAGCCCGCAGAACAGCCTTCAATGCGTCACGGGTCTCTGTTTTTCGTAATCGAAGTAAAAGACCAGTATGCTCTTCAAGCTCTATGACAATTGGAAAACAAAATGTTCGATTTACGTGCAATACTTAGTAATGCACGACTGCACTTTTGCGATGTAGGAGGGCCCAGTGCGGGATGGCGGGGCAGGCGGGGGCGGCGCGGTCGGGGTCTCCACCGGCTTTACCGGCCCCTCCCGTCGGACCGGAGGTCGACAAGCTCCGTGGAGAGGGTATGTAGCTTGACTGTAGATGTCAAAACTAATATTTTTATTACAATGGTTAGCTTTAATTTCTTTTACCGAATAATTTATGAAATAGGCCGTCTAACTTTTCTCGAGCATTAACCAACTTTAGTTTTGCATGTAATTTACACTTTGTACACTTTAGCTGTGCTGTTCGAACTGATGTTGGAGAACGCTGTCCCTTTGTAGACGTCTCCGCGGGCGGCGACATCCTCGTCCCTCCCGTGCTGTCGCTGCCACCGGAGGCCCTGGCGCACGTGTTCGCCATGCTGGAGCCCCTGGAGGTGGTGACGGCCAGCCAGGCGCACCCGGGCTGGCTGGAGGTAGCCAATCAGCTCGTCCTGGGGCCGCGGGGCCACCTCGCCGTCCGGCTCGACGAGGGGTCCAGCGTCGCCCGACCTGACACGGGGGACACGACCTCTGCCGACCCCGCGGCCGCGTCCAGGACGACCAGGCTGCACGTCCACACTCTCTCTCTCTCTCTCTCTGCGGCCGCGTCCAGGACGACCAGGCTGCACGTCCACACTCTGCACCTCGTCGGCGTCGTGCCCCGTGGCGTGGAGGGGGTGCGGCCCGCGCTCCTCGACTTGGCCAAGACGATCCCGCTCGACAACGTCAGCGTTGTCTGGCTGCACGAAGAGGGAGTCACCGACAACGATGTTGTTCACCGGACGGAGGCGAGCCAGGTACGGACTGAGACTTTTGAGACTAATTTCCTGCTTTTGTATTATCGGGAGGTCACATTCTCTCAACATGAAACTCGCAGCGCGCCACCCTGGACGCCATCCTGGATCTCTGCTCGAGCGTGACGAGCATCAACTTTTCCAACGTCCGCCAGAGCGCCACTTACGTGCGTCTCATCGTGGACGCCGGGCCGCGGCCCAGCTTTAGGTCGCGCTTCGTGTTCACGGAGCTCAACCACCACGCTACCAGCGTTCTCGGCGCGCTGGACGAGCTGGGGGCCTTCTTCGAGGAGACGGTTGTGACGGTGTGGCGGCCACAGCTGTCCGTGACCGCCTTCTACCCCCACTACTGGGAGAGCGGGTGCGACCTACGCCTGCCGTACCCCTCCGAGGTGAGGAAGCTGTGCCTGTACGGATCCGGGCTGCAGGCGACCGCCTACCGGAGCGTCGGCAGCATGGCCGCTTTGCAGGAGCTGCGGCTGTGCGACGCGGATGGCCTGGGCGACGAGGCGCTCCTGGGTCTGGCCAACAGGGTGCGCCGCCTGCGCAGGCTGGCCGTCCACGACGCGCCCGCCGTGTCCTCAGAGGCCTGGGCGGCCGCCCTGCGCGGTCCCGGCCTGCGCCACCTGGAGAGCCTCGAGGTGGCCGGCTGTCTGCAACTGGACGATGATGCGCTCGGCGCGCTTCAGGTACGACACGACGTCGAGGTCCCCGGTCCTTGTCTACTTCGCGTTGTTCGTTTTCGTCTAACATTCCCTCCCACCGCAGGCCGTGGACGCCCTGGAGGAGCTGACGGCCGTAGCTCTCGACCTGGAAGGCTGCGCCAAGGCGAGCGGCGCGGCGGTGAACGCCCTGGCCATCGCCTGCCCCAACGTCGAGTCCCTCACGCTGGTCGTGGCCTTCTCGCCCAGCCTCGTGGACGCCCTAGAGCGAGCGCCATCCCTGTTCCCGCGCCTCAGGCGCCTGGCGGTGCGCGTCCAGGGTTCCGGCTGGCCGGGCAACCCCAAGGAGGCGATCGCGGGCGTAGACCGACTCAAGCGGCGCCTGCGCGCGGCCTGCCCACCCACAGTGCACATGGACGTTAGTCTCACCTTTGTCAAGTTGGGCATGGCCGTGTCCAGCACTCCGGACCACGACCACTGAGCTGATGCGGTCCAGTTGTACTCAGGCGTCGCATGGGGTGCCTAACGAGTCGGGCGCTCGCCAGCAGGCGTGTTCGTGTTGGAGAGGAAGTTCCAATGGATACTTATCTAGTCAAGTTCCCAAGCCATAATATTACAAATAGTATTTTTTAAGTCATCCCTTGACTATAGCTGTGATATTAACTGTGTAGTAACACGTTTATTACTTTTATGTATTTATTTTTACGTGAAATTAGTATGGATTCAGGCATTTTTGAAACAATTGGAAACGGATGTTTACTTTTGTTTTGTAATACACACTGTTGAATGAATTGCTACTGATAGGTTCCGATTAAAACTAAGAACTCTGGAGTTGATAGAATAAAAACAATAAACATTTAAGAAACAAACACGTTGTAAGCTTATTACATGTTACATTTTATTTTTCTTTATGTATTTTGGTTTACTTTTTTCCCATTTTTTTATTGGACAGGTACATGGCTGATGGTAGAGCCGCTACCCCGAGCGAGCCGTCCTGCGCAGGTACTGGGCCGGGAAGCAGTCCGGGAAGGGCTGCTGCAGGCAGTCCTTGCGGCCGCGGCAGCCGCTCAGCGGGCACGAGTCCTGCAGCCCGTTGCGCCGCGGGCACTCGCAGCGCCGCAGCACCTTCCCCATGCGCACCTCGGCCTGGGCGGCCACCGGGGTGCGGGCCGGCCACTCCTGTCGGGCACGACGGAAAGCAACGGCCTCAGAGAGTGTCGATGAAGCTGTTGAGGAGCCGCACGCTCTGGGCGCTCATGGCGCTGGCGGGCCCGGGGCTGGCGCAGCTGGAGCAGCTGGCGGGGGCCGGCATCTGGGACGTGAGGGTGAACCAGGAGTGCAGCAGCGGCCGTGAGCGCGGCCGCGCCTGCTGGGCCTGCTGGCGCACGCGCGCCTCCAGGGCGGCCGCGCACCGGGCCTCGCCCGCGTCGCGTTGGCGGCGGCCTCCCCCCCGGCACTGGTCGCCCGGCGAGGCCTCCGTGTCCTGGCCGACAGCCTCGTCCTCATCGGGCAGAATGCTTCGCCATGGAGGCCGTCTGCGCATCCGCGGCGAAGGCCCCGTCGCCGTCGCCGGCCGCGGGCGCCGCCGCGGTTGAGGCCGTGGGGGCGTCGGCAGAGACTCCACCACCGGGCTTGGCGGCGTGTCGGGCGCGCCATCGCCGAGGACAGCGCCCCGCCACGGAGGACGTTGTTGAAGCGTTGGCATCGGCTGCGGGGTCGTTCGCTGTCGACGCGCCTGCGGTAGTGGTGTGGTCGGCGCCGACGCAGGGGCCGACCGGGTCGCAGGCTCTTTCGGCCCGGACGACTTCCGTGTTTTTCGCTTGGTGCGAGTGAACCGGCGACGGAAGTTGCTCATGCATGGAACGACTGGTTGTGTCGTGAGCACTGTTAGGTCATGGCCACCCCTCCGCCTCGGGGACGGCGTCGGAGCGGTGACGGGCCGATTGGACGCTGGCCGGCCTACGATCGATGTGGCTTTACTGGGACCGCTACCGCTGGACCCAGGGCGCTTGGAGATGGAGCCGATGGAGCCGGCTCGGCTGGAGGCCGTGATGACGATGCGTGGGCTGGGCGACGCGGCGGGGCTTGGGCTCGCCCTTCCACTCGTCCTCGGGCCCTTCCTAGCTGCGGTGGACACGCCCTTCGCGACGGTCTTTGGGGCGCGCTCCGCTGCTGCCGCCGCGGCCGCCATGGAGGCCTCCACGGCCCGCCGCGTGGCCTCGCCCAGGATGACCTTCTTGTAGAGCGCTAGCCACGACGACTTGAGGGGCGCGTGCTCCTCGGGCACGGCCGACACCGGCTGCGGCTGGGTGTCAGGAAGACTGTCGCGTTCCCCTGCTGTGGATACGCCCTGGGCCTCCACGTCGACGGCCGGTCCCTCTGATGGTGGCGCAAGCGGTAACGCATCGTCTTCAGCCTTCTCGTCCGTTTGGTCCTGGTGCGCAGTCTCTGCGACCAGGGTCTCCTTAGAGGAGGCCGCCGACAGATTCTGTGGTGACGTGACGATGCTCTCCAGGTCCACGGGTCGGTCTGCCATGGCTGCGACCTGCTCTGGAGTTACAAGGTCGGCGGCCGCGGTAAGCGGAGCCGTGCTGTCGTCGAAACGCGGGCCTGTAGAGCCCCGGCGGGCGTGGACGGCGAGCCGGCGACTGAGGGTGGGGACGGTGACGGTGACGTAGCGGCCCAGGTCCCAAGGCGGCTGCAGAGCGCTGGTCATGGAGCCCGTGACGGAGCCGCTGAGTGCGCTAAGCCTGCGAGCAGCCGCGGGGGGCAGCCTGCCCCTCTCGACGAGCGGCCCCCAGCGCAGCGACGTGGGCAGGCGCACGGGCACGGGCGGCCGCTGCGTGCTGCTCACGTTGACGGCGCGCGCCGCCCGGTAGGCCAGGGTCAGCTTGTGGCGCAGCAGCACGGCGGACGCGGCGACGTGCGCGGACACCGGGCCGCTGGCGGGCAGCCCCGCGCGCGTCTTGGACATGCTGGCCACCGTGGGCCGCGCGTACGACGCGGCGCCGGCGCTGCTGCCGCTGCTCACAGACGGGCGGCGGAGGCGCCTCGGCGCGGACCCCGCTCCCTCGGCCGCAACCCGCTTCCGGCGCCGCCGCCTGTGCCGCCGCCTCCGGCCCGAGCCCGAGGACGCCCCCTTCCTCCCGCGAGGGGCTCGCGACGGTCGCGGTGCGGAGGGCTGCATGTCGCGGGGGGAGGCTGCAAGGGCTGTGGCTGTGCTCACTGGAAAGGGACGCAGGGCGCACGCTCACAGCCTCAGGGCCGCCCGCCGACTCCAGCTCGGCTCACGATTGCAGGCTGCTCATGTTCCTTGCTTAAACGGACCACCTTCGCTTCTTAAGGTACCGACGTCCCTTTGAATTCAAGTTCACTGCAATTAGGAGCTTACCGGGCAGGTGCAGGAGTTGGCGATGGCTGCCAGGGGTGGTGCGTTGGTGTTACAGTCGGGCACGCATACGTTGCTCATGGGGCTGCGGGATAGAAGCGGGTTTTCTCATTAATTTTCCATTAGCCCGTTTTAAGAACAATAGAAAAACGCGTTTAAAATTAGTTGGGGTCTCATGAACACAAAGCCCCGAACCACGATACCTGGCGTCGAGGACGTTCGCCAGGTCCCGCAGTTTCTGGACGAGGGCGGCGCGATTCTGTGCCATTTTTGCTTTGGTATATGGTTAGGACACGTCACTTGAAAATTTAGAGTCTGTTGAGCCGAAAGGGTTTCGAGAAGTTTTGAGCGGAACCGGGGAGCCGAGCCGGGGCTACACTTTGGTGGGCGTATCCATGACAACAGGAATGGATTCTAAAATGCAACAGGCGGCAGGCGGCCCGACGCGCCTGCAGGGCGCACGCACTCAGGGGATGGTGGTGTCGTTCTCTCGGATCATCCCCATCCCTTCCCTGTACGAATGATCAAACGTCCCGGCCGCCCGCATGGGGCCCATGCACAATAACGCCTGCAGCATAGGCAACCGTCCGCCTGCAAACACACGGCAGGCCACCCGCAATGCAGTCCGCCTGGGTGTAGGCAACGCGCACTACACACAGAGAGTAGAACAGACTGGCGGGCCGTGCGCGGGTCTTAGGCCTAAGAGTTAACAACCTACGTTTCTTAGGGGTGCGAAATTTTGTCTTATCATCTGGTATTCACATAATTTACCGACGGTACGAAACATGCACTACAAACAAATGCGATGAAAAGAAATTCCTCAAAAGAGCCAAAGGCGTGTTTTTTGTGTCTCTTTTTGATATTGGGGGAGGGGGGGATATATTTAATAAAGACATTTGCTAGACCTGTATCAGGTTCCAGAAATATACCCTTCATAGATCTACAGTGGTGTGTGCAAACTTACCGTCTGGTATTCCCTCAGGTGGGCGTGCAGGGCTTGCAGCAGGCGGGCGGGTAGTCGTATCGGCAGTACTCGGGGGTGCGGTCGGGCAGGGTGGCGTACTTGGAGAGCTGCTTGCGGCCGAGCACGCACTGCGGGAAGGGCAGGGCCGCGCAGCCCTTGTCTTGGCCGGCGGCGCCCTGCATGGTGTTGGCCAGCATGCAGCGCCACGACAGGCACGAGTCCTGCAGCCCGTTGCGCTTGACGCAGTTGCACACCGGGTAGTGCTTGCCGCCCCGCAGCTCCGCCTTCATCTGCGGCACCGGCCTGGCGGGCCCCGGGTACAGCTCCTGCAACGAAAGGATGTGAGAGGCGGCGCGTCCTCGACGCTGTCCTGGACATGCCCGCCGCCCTCTGCTCACCAGGTTGACGTACAGCTGCCCCATGATGCGCTGCCCGGTGGCGTACAGCGGCAGCCTCCTGCCCGGGGTGGCGCAGTCCCGCGGGGCCCGGGCGGCGGGCTGCGCACGGGGAGGGAAGTCCGCGTCACGCGAGGCGTCACGCCGTGTGCCGCCGGGGCCGCGCGGCACGACGCGTTACTCACCACATTCTGCTGGTAGGGGACGCAGCAGCATGACAGCGGCTCGTCCCTGGACAGGGGTGGGTAGAATGAGAGAGGGAGGGAGCGGGGAGCAGCGGTGAAGGTGGCCACGGGGCTGCTTTACGTCAAAACTTACAGGACAGCCTCTCCCAGTTTGCTGGTAAGTGCCCGAATGTCGTCCATTATTACTAAATTTTAAAAAATTGTCCGGAGAACTTGTAAATTTGGAAAGTTGTGGTCTAAACTGGTGTAGGGTGTGGGTGTTATTGCAATGTAGATTTTGCTCAGTCCATTGTTGCTTGGCATCCTAGTACATTCTTGCAGCATCTTCCCTGGTGGTAGGAGGTAAAATTGAAGTAGGCTGGAATCCCTGGAATCTACCAAGAAAAAACTCATCTCTACACACTTTCTATCCCTACTGTAAAATGGTTTATAGGAGGTAATAGTTATTTAGAAAAATTAACCATAGTAGAAGTGAGGAAAATTTATTCATTTATAATATCTTCATTTCATAGTAGCTTATATTTATTAAAATTAATTTATAGAGAACCTTTTCAGAAATTCACACACAACAGAAAAATAATCACACGACACAACACTAAATAAAAAATTCATGGCTCCAAAAGCAATTTGGAGAGGAATTTAGATACACATTTTTAAGGGGCTCTGCTTGCTTCTTATACTAATGGTAATTAAGTTTAATAACATGGAGAAAAATGGAACCAGCTAAAACTTAAAAGGCCCAATGTAATTGATGAAGAGGTGTACCGTGTGCCGAGGTGCTTCACTCCCATAGCAACCAGTTGTGCCGTGCTGGTTTGATCCAGTTCTTCCTGCAGAACAAAATTTATTTGTGATAACAAAATAAGATTGATACATTTCAGTTGAAAAACTTTCAGTTACTCACATATCACACAGAGTCCCAGGAATTATTTTTTGTACATGCTTTCTCAAAATGTAGCAGATCCATGTTATAACGCACTCTTTGAACCGTTTGCAGTAATATAGTGGTACAAAACCACTAGTAAAAATAAGGTAACTCCCAACACATTGGCAAAAATAGCTAACTGCACGTCAGTTATCATGGTGAAATTCTGTAACAAAAATATAACAATGTGATGTAACAGGCAAAATTCAGAATACGTGAGGACTTGTACTGGGTCGTAACTTTTTAAGACCAAGTACTGAACCAATAACCATGAATGAGCATGAGTTTTAAGGGCAATAGGTATCAGACAAAAATTTTGACAGACAGTGAATATCAAATCCGTGCGCTAGAAATAAAGCATTCGGTGCGTCACATCAAACAATTTGGTTCAGTAATAGTTTACAGAGGTGAATTAAATTTAATAATAATGATGGGCGGTTGCCTTGCCGGCAGTGTCAAACGGTAAGATAAGTGCAGCAGAACCGAGAGACGCGTCAAACACGACCACGATTCCAGCTCAAAAACAAAGACCAATTTTCCCCTCCATTTCCATTAAACACAATTCACGCAAAACTGTAACACACCTAAATTTGTTCTACGAATTACGTGGCAACACCGACAAACGGATTACAACCACCAAAATGTCAACACAAGAAGCAGAGAAAGAAGAAGGAATGCGTCACTGTCCTTGTCTTTGAGAAGGCTGTATTCGAAATACTAACGTGCTGCCATCTGTTATTGCTATCCGTAAACGCCCATTTCCAAGCGAGGGGTGCGGACGAAACGCATCAGAAACCTCGTTTCTCGTTTTCCGTGGCGGGCGCGCCATCTTGGATTTACGCCGGCACAGCGCTGATTTTACAAGGAAATTTGGACCAAAGTTACCGCATATTGAGCTCAGCTCTATTTTCTAATTCGTAAGGAAGACCCCACTACCCTCAATCATTCGACTCAGGAATGCAGTAGGTACGAAGAATTCTGACAGTGAAGAGAGCCGTAGGCTTGTTGAAGGTATAATGGCGCATGGAACGGCTAGGCTTGTCTAAGTTTATCCCCGAGTTGAGTTGATTTTCCTTGTTTTGCTGCGTTTGCCTGATTCCGTAAGTGTGACGTTATTATCCCTCTGTGTGCTATGACCTAAGTTTGTGCGTCAATGATGCTCTTGTTACAACCAAATCGCCTTCGAAAGTTGAGCTGCAAGTCATGGCCTACTGGATTTATGTAACTTTTGTCGATTCGGAAGGTTTCATCTGCCTTAATTGCTGTGAGACTAACGTGATAATTACAGCGGCATTGCTGTCGTTTGCTTTCAATTAATTCAATAACTCAGATTTTGTCGATTTCGACTCTGTTTTGATTCCACCCTAGTGCTGGGATGGGCCGCCACATAACCTGTCATAGACCACACCGATCAATTTCTTGTACGCTTGTAGTTATTTTTACCCTCCAAAGAATAATTAGTCTTGATGTTAAACTGTGGAGTGCCTCTAACGAAGATCGGTCTACTCTGACGCGTCATGAAATGAGCTATGTTACTGAGCAACAGTTAATCAGTAGGGCACATTTCAACCCAATCTGACTCAACCTGTTTCCCTTTAACTCTAGTTATCTTTCTAAAGATGTTTTATTCAACCCTTGCTATCCACAATGTGTCACTAATTTACTGAACAAACCTTGGAACTGTATGAAGCCATCAAATGAATGAGAATTTTACTAATGTTAGTGTTTTGAATGAGAGCTGGAACTGAACAATGTTATGTTCCGTACAGAAATTAGTATCTTAATCAGATCTTATTATCTTGTCTAGTACATATTTGCAATGTCATTTAGACTTACATGATTATTTATGTTTCTATTTTCTTTTGGTTCACTACATAGGTTTTCTTTCAACTGTTTGACAGGACACATTTCGCAAGCTTATGTTGGGCGCCAGCTGCTTGAAAGCAACTTCTCCTTTATTCAAAGTTTCAATCCGTTCATCCGCAAAATGGCGTTGCCCAGTAGGGCACGAGTCTATGCAGAGGTGAATTCTCACAAGCCGCGAGATTACTGGGACTATGAATCATATGTTGTAGATTGGGCGTAAGTTGCTATGAGTTAATGATGTTTTTCTGCCTCTGTGATCACATTCTGTCACTCAATTCTGTTATTTAATTGTTTCTATTTTTAGGCAACAAGATGACTATCAGTTAGTGCGCAAACTTGGAAGAGGGAAGTACAGTGAAGTGTTTGAAGCAATGAATATTGCCAAAAATGAACGATGTGTAGTCAAAATATTAAAGGTAAGTCTAAATTACTCTAGCTGGTGTAATATTCGCTTTTGTATTGTTGAGTTGTTCTTATGTGTATTCATCCCCCACTCAGCCTGTGAAGAAGAAGAAGATTAAGAGAGAAATTAAGATCTTGGAAAATTTGCGTGGTGGCACAAACATAATCACACTGCAGGCAGTGGTGAAGGACCCGGTGTCCAGAACACCAGCACTCATTTTTGAACATGTGAACAACACTGACTTCAAACAGCTGTATCAAACTCTAACAGACTATGACATTCGTTACTATCTGTATGAATTACTGAAGGTAGGTGTTTTAATTTTGGGTAAGATGTATTTTCATTCAGTTTTATTTTTGTGATCTTAATTTATTCCTTTCCATCCAGGCTTTAGACTACTGTCATAGTATGGGAATCATGCACAGGGATGTGAAGCCTCACAATGTCATGATTGACCATGAGAACAGAAAATTGAGACTCATTGATTGGGGTCTTGCAGAATTCTACCATCCAGGCCAAGAGTACAATGTCCGTGTTGCAAGCCGTTATTTCAAAGGGCCTGAGTTGCTAGCAGACTACCAGGTAATTAGCTTACGTTGGATGTTTTAAAATTTCATTCTGAGCTCTGGCACTATCCCATATTAAACATTGTTTTTCAATTCCAGATGTATGATTATTCTCTAGACATGTGGTCTTTGGGTTGCATGTTGGCTAGTATGATCTTCAGGAAAGAACCATTTTTCCATGGACATGACAATTATGACCAGTTGGTGAGAATTGCCAAGGTGCTAGGCACTGAAGAATTGTTTGAGTATCTTGAGAAGTACCATGTTGAACTAGATCCTAGATTTAATGACATTCTTGGCAGGTAAATGTCTTCCCAGATTAGTTTGAAATTTTTACTGAACCCATGTCATTGGCTAATTTTTGGTGTCTTTCCTCAGACATTCACGAAAGCGATGGGAACGTTTTGTCCACACTGAAAATCAACATTTGGTTTCCCCTGAAGCATTGGATTTCTTGGATAAACTCCTACGATATGATCATTATGAGAGGCTGACAGCACGAGAAGCTATGGAACATCCTTACTTCTGTAAGTCTTAAAACAGGTCTTCCTCTTTAAGTAGATTCCAGCAGTCGGTGAATCTAATGTTTCCCCTCTTGTTCTGTGTAGACCCCATTCTAAAGGATCAGGGGCGTCTCAATATGGTTTCTTCCTCACCTACTCCCATGTCAGGCACTGGGCCTGCTGGTGAATAGGATTACAGGTAATGACTTTTTCTTTTTAACTGTTCTTTAAATTTTCCTGTATTTTTTATATTTTCTATCAATATTTTAATATTTTTTACATATTTTTATTCCAGGTGGAAATTTGGTTAATTTTTACTTGCCAACACCACCTGTTATTTTACCAACATCAACTGGCAACAGTAATCTACAACCATGACTATGAAGTGGTTGTATGAAGTAATTATTCCAACAAACTAGAAACAAGAAAATGAAGTGATTAGCATTTTTCCGTAATGGAAACCTATTTAAATGGTAAAACATTTTGTAAGGTTACCTGCTGGACATTTGTTTAAAGAAGAAAAACTGGAAGATGTTTCTTCATTTTGACATGTTAAAGATAATTCAGTAAGATCTCTTAAGCATTTTATGTATCTATAGCTGAGGATTAAAACAGGAGCAAATAGAAAATGTTGAAGGGGCTGCTTGTTTGCTACTGCTTTAACCATTCAAAAAGCTGTAAGAGCACTTACTGCATTAACTATACCATGCACTTTAGTTACTTCAGATCAAACAATCTTGTATTGTATGTGTGTGTGTGTGAATGTGTGTGCGCTTGTATGGCTGAATATCTGTGGACAAGTTGCTGTTGGCTGCATTTTTCAGTTTTGATTCCGTACTTGGGAGTTTGATCTGCTGTTTTCATTTAATGTACTTGCAATTCTCTATTATTTTAACAGAACATAGTATTGGAATTACCAGGGATCCAGCTGGTAATCAAAATTGCCAATTGACACTTGTCACACAATTTACTTTACAGCAGCTATAGGTCTAAACTGTACCTTTCAGTCTTTTTAAATGTTAGTTCAAGTAATTTAATATAGAGATGCAAAACTGAATACTGATAGTAGGAAACTTTGTATTTGAATTACATTGGGAAGAGTGTCCATTGTGATTATTTTGAGGGTTCTCTTAAGCTCTCCTCACTTTCAGACACCTAGTTCTATACTGTACATGAATGTCATTAAACATCTTTTATCCCAAGACAACCAAATTTCGTCTCATTTTTTGTGCAATTTATTTATTGTAAAGTCTTGTATCTTTTCTAGTTGAATGGAAAGTATAGCTCAGTTTATGTACTAATGAATTGTCCTACAATTGAGGGCCCTTATCAATTTTCTTTCTACCCTCTACTTGAGTTAACATTGTGATATTTGTTCTCAAGCCTGAAAGCAGCTTTTGTATGGATAAGAAACCTGACACTTTTCATCCGATCTAAATGACAAGCATGTTCTGGCAAAAGCAAGAATACTCCTAAGCTCTGAATTCTAACAGAAGCAAAGTCTGGAAATTTAAGGGTAATTATTAATGTACATTTTACCTTGTATACCTCAGTTCTGTTGTGAAAAATCATGCATATATTGGGGTCTGAAGTGATAAAAAAGAAAAATCACTGTTGGGGGTACTGGAATGACATACTTTCATTACAATTTCATCTGGGAACCTGTAAAACCTATTTTCTCGTATATTTTGTGTGCACTGCCCACTCACATTGAGTTCACTGTGTATATTGTGTTTTCTTTTTTTTAATTTTTATTATATTGAAATCTAATCCATTGTAAACATTGTGACATTTTCCAGTGATAAACAGCTGATGTTCCATGAATATTGTTAGCATTTTCTGTGGAGTTGTTCATTTCCTGTATTGTGGACTTGTTTGCTTCTTGCTGAGTGCATGTGACATTTTTGTTGTATATATGTGCCGATATACAGCAGCTGATTAAATGGATGTTATTCATTTTCTTTGGCAATCTGATCATTGAAAACAGTACAACACTTAGCATGAAGACAAATTGATTTTGTAAATATTTTGTGTACATATTTTATTCAATTTTTTATCATTACTTACTATATTACATGATAAGGAAGTCATGAAGGAACTGAAGTATTGATCCTTAAGCCATGCATATCTTTAATTTCTTCTTTCAAAGCCTACATAAACAAAATAATATTTTAATTATGAATGCAAAGTCAAAGATTACATGACACCACAGAGAAACATCAGTAAAAATACCTCATTGACCATCCTGTGCTGCTTGACAATGTTTAGGCCCTTTAATTCTGGAGCTTCTACAGTGATATCATACATTGCACCACAGCCACCTAGAAAAGAACAATATTGTAAGGGAATATTTTTAAAACTTCAAAAACAGCTCTCTTAACTTGCCTGATATGTCTACTACTTCAATCACTTTGGCTTTAGGGAATTTCTGTTGAAGAATGCTTTTTATTTTCCCTTCACCAGAGTTTGTTGAACATCCTCTAGCAAGTATTTGGGTAAACTGTAACAAAATAAGAAGCATACTGTCAAGATGCGAACAACAAGAAACCTTTGAACATTGTGGGTTCTATAACTTCTTTTCTTTATTGTGTAAATGTGCATAACCTAGTTTTAAACAAAAATTTACTTACAAAATACTGTCTATGGGACACTAGAGCGCTTATCCTTGAAAACATTGTTCTATGAGGCGTAAAGATAGAAGAAGATTTATAGAACTGTCATCACCTTTCCAGTGCTTTAAATTTGAAATTATGTCAAAGAAAACATGACCGGTTTGGGTTTGGTTTTGCTTTGAACTTTACAAGAAGAACAGTTCGAAGAAGGAAGGAAGGGTGGGAGGGGAAGGGGGGTGACCTTGGGATGGCTGCAAGGCGCTGCTGCAGCGCGCGAAGATTCAAACACAACCGCAGACCGTGACAGCCGAAAAAAACAAAAGCGAGTCATGAATTCTTGAACTTTTGTTGACAAATTGTAAACTAAAACTTTTTTCTCTCTTGGTTACATCTGTGAGTGAAGCAGCACTTTAATTTATTGAGATAAGGTGTAAATCAGTCAGCGGTCAGCAGTGATAGTGAATATGCCGCTGACTAAATTTATTTCAGACAAGCCATGATGATGTATCCTCGTCAGTTCCAATCCAACGAGATGGTGTTTTGCTGTGTCGAAACAACCAAAAAGAACGATCAAACGTTCGTGTGTCGAGTCGATCCTCGGCCGGCACGAGACAGGCTAGGAGGAGTGGATGTGGAGCAACGAGCAACGCGTGTCCCCTTTCTCATTACCAGCGCATGACAGCCGGGCCGGGGCCGGTGGAGTATGGGTGTATGGGTGCGCGCTGGGGCCGACGAGGGCCGTGGCCACAGAATTCAAGAAGACAGCAACAACGGGGACGAGGAGGCCCGGGGGCGGCTTGAATAGGAGGGCGCAAGGCGAATCCATATTATTTCAGCCGCCACCGCGATGACAGATGGCACTCTGGCACGGGAGTCCCTGACGTCACGCAGAACACCTGACGTTTCCCCCTCCCGCCACGCCGCGCCACGCCACGCCCGGACAGTGCAGTGCTTTACCTGGGCCTACTGCACCAACAACTGTTTCGCGGGGCGGAGCACAGTCGGGCGGGGGTAAGCTACGGCCCGGGGGAAGGGCCAACGGGAAGGAGGGGAGGCCCGAAGCTTGGCCCGGCCCGTCCGTAGGGCCCCGCTCGGGCACGTAAGGTGCCAGGTCGAGGCCCCCGCAGCCCCCGCCCACCCCGCGGCCTGGCGCGGCGTAGCGCGGCCCGGCCCGGCCGCTCCGCCGTCGGTATGCGCGACGTGCCCGCCGCCCGCCCCTGCCCGTCCCGTGCCCCGCCAGTAGCCGGTCGGCCGCCGCGACGTGCGAACCAACACGGAGCGCCGCGAGCAACGCGAGCGCGAAGGAGTGCGTACGCGTCCTAGAGGTGAAGTGGAGCCGAAGAGCGAAGTGTGAAGTGGAGGCGGTGGCGCGCCTCGCGTCATGCGCGACAACCCGTGGCCCAGCATCCCCCGAGGACTGCAGCACGCGCGCCGGTCCCTGCGCTCCCTGGTGGCTCAGGCCAAGCGCAGCAGCTCCGGGTCGACGCCGTCCCCGTCCCCGGCGCCCTCGCCGTCCATCCCCAGTTCCCGCCCCCGGTCGCTGTCCCTGGCGCCGCAGCAGCCCCCGCGGGCCTCCCCCTCCCCGCGCACCCCCAGCACCCCCAGCCCCGGGGCGCGGCTCCCGCCCACCGCTACTGGATACGCGAGGTCGCCGTCGACGACGCCGACTCGGGCGGGCGGCATGACGCTGCCCCCGCAGAGGCCCGCCCGCCGCTTGCCGGTGGTGCACAGCGTGAGGGACTACCCCGAGCACCTCAACCCCTTCCGGGACGATGTCGACGAGGACGGCTCGGCCGTGCCGCCGCCCCTCCCCGGCATGGAGGACGACGAGCCGACGCTGAGGCCGACCCAGGACAAGTTTGGCACGTGGACGGTGCCCCGCCGGCGGTCACACCTCAACTTCGAGCAGACGTGGTGAGTCACGGGGACCCTCACGGGGACCGTATCCGTCAGCTGACGACGCTGTGTGACGGCCCGCAGCACGCGACCTTACTCACGGTGCGTGGGCGTGAAATGGAACGGTTCATGTTATAGTCGGGAGGGGAGTGGAGGGGGGAGGGTCGGCCAGGTGGTCAGAGACACTTCGCCAAAGAAGTATAAGTGTGTCCACCGCCAGCCGAGTGCCGGAGTGCCCAATGCGGTCTCCTAGCGGGTCGCGCGCCGCTGCTGCGCCAGCGAGCGTTTCACCGAGGTTTTGCCCTCCTGCTGTATTCCCCCGCCTCCATTATGGTGCACAAAACATGCCGACGAAGAAGGCTGCCGCGCGAAAAACACACACGGAGAATATTCGAGGGACGAAATACGCATCGTCTGAAATTTCTCTTATGAATTAACTGAGCGCGTGCGCGTGCGGGAGGCGGAGCGCCCGGCAGGTAGGCAGCGACAACACTCGCGTGTCGTGCGGGCCGGCCCAGCCTCAGCGCCGGTGACACGTGTGGTGTGGGAGAGCAGCGCCCAGCTCTGCAAGCTCTGCTGCAGCGCTCTGCGTCTCCGTCGGACGTCTTGGATGCCCTCGCCCTCCGTCTCCCTCGCACGCCCGGGTTATCGCCGGCGGGGTATCTCGCACAACACCGGGGCCGGCCGCGGGCCTGTGGCGGGCCCGAGCGCTGCTGCTGGGTTATCCGGGGGGGAGGCTGCCAGTGATGCTGTTTGCCCTCGTTCATGCGAGAGTAAGAGAAAGTGCATCGGTCGTCTTCGTAGTGCCCTCCATGTGTGCGTGTGCGCTGCAGTGAGATGCGATGCAGCGGTGCGTTGGTTGGCCCGCGTGGTCCCTGATCGCATATCGCACGGCGGTGCGAGGCGGGCTGCAACCGACGTGACGCACTCGCCGCGGGTGCGCGCGCACGCATCCGCGCGCATTCGTTCGTTCATTTAATTATTTATTCAAGAAGCATCCCTGACGAAAGCAAAAGGCGATACAGGGCAAGCGCAAGCCGCAGGCAGGCTCCGCTTACTCGGCGCCATCCTCCCGCGCTCCAATCTCCAAGCCAGTCTAGCTAGCCGGCGGCCAGGCCTGTACCCGCGCGCATGAACGCCCCCTGTTGTAACTTGGACGGCGCGCGGCCCGAACACCGCGAGGGCGTTGGCACGGAGCGAAGCGCGGGCAACATAGTCTCTGCTCGCGAAGGAATGCAAACTGTACGAGTGTTCGAAGGGCGGGGCGGGGCGGGGCCTGCTCGCGAAGGAATGCAAACTGTACGAGTGTTCGAAGGGCGCGGCGCGGTGGGGCGGGGCGG